GGGACATGAGTGAGAATGTCAGAGAGCAGGGAGGCATCAGGCAAAGGCTCCGAGTCCAGGGCAGGCCCACCTGAGGCTTCCTGCCCACCAGGCCAAATCCATCCTGCATAAAGGAGCTCTTTGGAAGACCTTGGGACCCTGCCTTAGTTTCCCTACCAGGGCATAGAGGGGCTCCAATCCAGACACACTTAGTCCATCCTTCTTCCTTCTCTCCCCACCCCTCAGTAGCCATTTTCAGCCTCCCCCACTCCTACTCCACCAAGGGACAGGGTCTATGGGACAGGGGTAGGTGGGTCTAAAGGAAGGGCTGAAGGAAGGGTGCTTCCCCCTCAGACCTCACCCAGACCCACAACTGGGGAAACAGGTTTGCCAGCTGATGTCAGCTCTGGCTGCTAAAGGGAGGGGCGCAGGTGCTGCAGGCTGGGTCTCTCAACACCTCCTGAGCTCCATCCCGCACACTGCAGGTCTCCTAGCAGGGTTCAAAGTCGCCTGGTGTACCCTCCCTGGGAGCCCAGCACACAGGGGTGGGGATGGTGTTCTGTTCCAGGCGGGCAGGAAGGCAGCATACGGAGGCTGGCCTGGGCTTCCTCTCCCTAGGGCAGGAGGCCTGGCCCCGCCCTGATCCTGGATTTGCTCTTACATCCTGGATTTGTTTGCTGGCCCTGGGTCTGCCCCCTGCCTGGCCCAGGCTTCCAACCTGTGCCCATACCTGCTCTGGGAGGTATGGAGGTAGGGGAAGGCAACCTCAGCTGCCTCCAGACAAAGTAGGGGGTGCTCAGCTCCAAGAGATGCTGGGGTCCACTATGCTAGAGAGGTGCTGGGAGACTGCACCCAGACAATCCCAGCAACCTTCTTCCCAGCTCAAAGAACCACCAGGAAGTCCCTCCCACTCAGCACGTGGCTTAAGCTGGGAGCAAGTCACAGCCACGGGCCAGCAGAGGTAGGAGGGTTGGGGACGTCTCCCTGCAGACATTTTACTCTCACCCAAGGACCTGCATTTGAGGATGAAAACTGGGAGGTTGGGGGAGGGGGATCAACAGGACAAGCAAGCAGGAGGCCTTCTCTAGCCTGGACCTGGTGGCAGAGCTTAAGCCTCAGTCTCCTTGTTGGGGGTGCAGGGTGGGATATAACACAGAAAACCCCTGGCATCAAGGCTGTGCCAGTTTCAGTCAGCGAGGTAGAGGCTCGGAAGTGCCAAGAGCTTGGTCACCCCAAAGAGGGACACTACCCCATGGCCTGCCTCCTTCTGGAGGCCCGAGCCCAGCCACAGGCTGTGCTGCTGCCGCTCCCCACTGGCCTAAACTGCAGGTGCCTCTTCAGGAGGGTTAGCTGGGCTGAGCCTGAACTTCCCCCCTAGTGACAAGCTGCTCAGGGGCACACAATGCTCCTTTGTGCCCAGGGTGCACCTGAGCCAGCAGCATGATTCCAGGCAGGTGCAGGGAGGGAGGCGTGGCCCCAGTGTTTCTGAGGGGAAATGGGGACCTTTGCATGGGGGCAGAGGTGGGGAGACACCAGAATCAGGATCACTGTCTGCACCTCCTGAGGTAGCCTCTGAAAGTGAGGGAGGGCACTCAGGCCTCGGCCACCGTCCATCCTCCTCAGACATCATACCCTCCGCAAACTAGCTCACCACAGACTTGCCCACCATGCCTCGTCCCAGCATGGGAGAGGGGTGGAGCCGCCTCCAGTCCAGCAGGAGTCCCCGGCCTCCGCCAGTTCTGAGGGATTCTGAGGCGACTCAAGTCAGACCTGTGCTTGCCCAGATCCCTTAGTCCGGTCCGACATGCTGGCCACGACCACCCAGCTAGGCAGTACCCACAGGAGGAGCAGCTCACAACTGGTCTTCCACGCCCCTCTAACTCCACCGGGCCTCGGTTTCCCCCATTGTAAAGGGTCTCTGTCGAGGCCCCCCTCCCGTTGCGACTCCGGATGCGCAGTCCTGCTGGAGGGCTTGTTGAAAAAGTGAGTACCGGGGAGGGCTGCACATCTCCCACCCGCCGCCACCCCGTTTCCTCCCCGCCAGCTACGGGGCTAGAGGCAGCCGGGAGGCCGGGGACACACACTTGTGAGCCGAGCCGGAGCACACCAGGCTTTTATCCACGCGGCCCCGGCGGCGCGGGGCGCAGGTGCAGCAAGCGCGCAGACCGCGCGGAGCTGGGGGGCACTAGCAGGCGCGGCGCGGGGCGGGCTCACCTGCGCGTAGTAGAGCAGCCACAACTCGTAGAGCCGCTCGGAGGCGGCCATGGCCTGACCCGGCTCCGGCCGTGCTGCGCGCCACCTGTCGCCGCCTCCTCCGCGCCGCCCGCCGGTTGCCCCCAGCCAGGCCCATGGGCTGAGGGCGTCACTCCGGGGCGGAGCGGCGCGGTCCTGCCGGGGAAGTCCAAGGCTCTAGTCGGCGCCGCATTGAGCCACCCAAGCCGACACCCTCCTCCTCCCCCCGCAGCAGTCCACCGCTCGGCTTCCTGCACTTCGCCGCCGCCGCGGCCACCGCCACCGCCGCCGCCCCGCCTCTCCCGGGACCGTGCAAAGGGCGGGGAGCCCAGTGGGAGAAGGAGGAGCCGGAGACCGGGGCGGCCGCATGCCTCGCAGGCCGCGCCCCCGAGAGCACCAAGTGCTTCGGAGCCCCTGGGACTCCAGACCTGCCCTGGCTTTGGTTTTATGCCTGAAACGCGGATGGAGAGACCGCCGTTTGGGGACAGAGATCGGGACTGGGTCTTTCTGCAATAATAATCACTACCTGCCAGGTGTTGTCGGAAGAGCTGTAGGGGCATCCTGATGGCTGCTTTGGAGCTCCTGCCTGCTGCGAGCGCAGCAGGGGAAGGTCAGAGAAGGGCGGCAGGATAAGCTTGACTAGCATTTGGGAGGAAGCCTTGGCCTCTGTCCTGGGAGGCTCAAGCTGTCTCCACGGGAGCTCTCCTCCTTCAGGAAGCCTCCCCAGCTGCTCCAGTAGAAATCCTTCCCCCCAATCCCAGTCCTTGCCTCATGCCTTCCTGTCACACACAGAGGGCCCAGACTGCCTAAAAGAGGACTGGTTGGCAACTGGGATGGGGACCTAGGCCTGGCTGAGATACCACAGTCCCCTCCCCACCCCCGTGTCCCTGACCAGGTGCCCGGCCTACCTGTGAAGTGAGGATACCCCTGGTGTTAAGTGTTCTCCGTTACGAGAGAAGGGGAAACAGTTTCCTGGGCCATTGGTCCTAGGAGCTGATCAATCTTCAGTCCATTAGAAGATAAACCCCCATCCCTCTCCAGGTCCTTCTCCGGTTTCCTGGGTGGCTCCTTCAGCCTGGCCTCTTCTCCTGCCTCATGCCCCAGAGCTCTGAACTAGCTGATATCTTCTAAGAACCCACAAACTGGGTGCCAGGCCTTGCAGGGCACTCCACCCACCCATAGGGCCTGGGCAGATCTGAGTTTGTGAAGTCCAGTGGGGCAGGAGTCAGTGGACAGTGAGAGCTGGTTGCAAGAAGGCATGAGCAGTCACTTGCAACTAACCAGATGTGGGAGATCCTGGGCAGGGTGGGCATAGATTTGCTAAGAGAGGAGCTGTGCCCTGTGGATGTGGCTCTGAGGGCCCCCTTCTCCCCGGTCCTGACTTGAGCTGATGTGGTCTCTGTGGTGAGGTAGGCAGCTAGTTCAGGGTCACAAGCTTGGAAGCCACTCCCCCCCCCAGGTGTTCCCTCCTGCCCACCTGTAGGGCTCACATTACCATCACCTGGAACCTGAGAGTGGGAAATATTGCACTGCTGTGTAACCACTCTCCTCACAAGCCCCACAAACTCGCGATAAGGAGGGGGTTGCTCTCTTGATCTTGTGGCTCCATCGCTCTGGCACTCTGACTCTTGGCCTCCCCAGTACCTGCTTGCTCTCTGGCTTCCTGCAAACAGACTCTGAGGACAGGTAGTCCCTGAGCATGGCCCTAGTGTGTCTGTATTCCTCTCCTTCTGTTCACTGCTTGGGCGTTACAGTGATGATAGCAATGCTAAGATGCTTTGTATTCCTAATGTGTGTACTATCGGGAATTCCAGGAGAGGTGAGACCTAGCAGCAGTGGAATGTGGACAGAGAGGCCAGGGAAAGGTGAATGTATGCAGCTTTGTAAGTGTGCCCAGGTTATTCATTGCATGTCTCTTAGGATAACATATTCTTAGGGAAGCTGGAACATAGGTCTTCAGCTTAACGGATGGACTTTAGGGTAATGACTATTTGTCCTTTAGAGGTTACGATTGGATTGCCAAATGGACTTGTGATTTGCTATTTCCCCCAGTGGGCCCTGTTATCACCAAACTTGGTTAATAAAGACTCCTTAATAAACCTTGGACTTGTTTGGCATAATCTCGCTCACACCCCGCAAGTCTCTTATCACAACACACTCCCTGTTTTGGCTGGCGAACCAGGCTCCTATGGCCAAGCACTTGCAGCTACAGCCGAAGCCACTTTTACTAAGCTGGGCAGTGGGTGGGGTAGGAATGGGGACTCCTGGGTCTTGCTGCGGTTTGCTCTCCTCCAGGAGGAGCTGGGGGTTCACAGGTGAACCTGCCATCCAGCTCCTCTGCGAGCGACGGAGGGCTACAACAGGAGCGCAGGGTACTGGTCAGGGAGCGCGGGGGACCACTGACAGCCGTGGAGGAGGGAAGAGGCTGACCTCATGTCACGGTGGGATCGGAGTGGAGGGTGAGGAGGACTTCTGGAAACCTGACGATTCCGGACAAGCGCTCAAGGATGAGCCAGGGCCCTCCGAGAGGCCGACATGGAGTCAGCTCTTTTTCTTCCGTCGGGTCTGACTGTATTTGCTCTTTTTCCATTGACGAGCGTTGGAAACAACAAATCCTAGCATCCGTTTTTTGTTTTTGTTTTTTTTTTTCTTTTCCTCAGCCAGCAACCCTGTTCAGTGGACCAGCCGCCCGTGAGAAAGAGGGCGGGCCCTTCTGTAGCCACTAAACATTGATTGGCTTCTCGGACTTCCGGCTTGCCCTTCGCAGCCTCGGATTGGCCGCGAGACACTCTCTCAACTTTCCTCAGGCCTGTGCGACGCGGCGCGACGCAAGAGGAGGGGGCGTAGGCAAGATGGCGGCGGTAGCGGCCGGTGTGGGCCGGTTAGAGGAAGAGGCCCTGCGGCGAAAGGAAAGGCTGAGAGCCCTTCGGGAGAAAACCGGACGCAAGGTGAGACATGCGGAATGAAGCCCGTAGTTCAAGCTGCCATTGCTCAGGCTCCACTAGAGAGGAGGGCCCGAGACGGCTAGGGACGTACTCCCGCGGGTGCGCATGTGCGGGCGGCTGGGCGCAGGCGCAAAAGCACAGCGCCCGCGGATCGAGTCTGGCGCATGCGCCGAGGAAGTTCTCGGGGGTTTGGGCCGGGGTTAGCGGTTCGCTTGCTGGTTGTTGCTAGGGTTTCTTCTCGTTTGTTGGGTGGGGCGGGTGGTTCGGTTTCTCCTTGTCCTGGTTGGCTTTTCAGCAATCTCCTCAGTCCGTCCGCCTGTCTTGTGCCGTACAGCGAGGGGCTGCAAAAACCCCCAAAGATCCATCACTTCGGGGTCTGGAAAGGAAAGAAGAAGGCGCTTATTTATTTGTTTATGTTTTCAGCCGTACTGCTTCTCTGGGGATGAACCTACTTAGTCCCGTCACTTGTCAGATTCAGAAGCGTTTGGTTATTTACCCTATCATGGTCCATCCCTGCCTTGTTCCTCTTTCCAAGTAACAAATAGGAAGGACAACCTTGAAGTTCACTACCTGTGTGCACACTCACTCCGGCCTTGCACCTTCGGGCCGTGAGGCGTGTGACTCGGGGTGCTAGTCTCCCATACACCCTACACATAAATTCTCAAGGAGTTGTTTGAAGAGGATGAAAGGTCCCCAGATATGCTTAGCGGGTAGAAGCTGTGAAGATTCATGTTGGAGGGTGACAGCCCTGTGCAGAGAATGGGAAAGCATCTAGGTCTGCCATGACGGGGCAAATGGGGAATGCATGTGTGAGTCTGCCTCTTGCTTTCCTTGGGGCCTGGCTGGCTGGTGTCCAGTGGGAAGCAAATGGGGAAGTAACAGGGAAGGTTGGCGGGATCGGCTTCTGCTTTTGCATGGCAGCCTGTTGGACTTGTCGGTTATCTCCCTCCCCCCAGCACCATAGGACAGTATCATCCTGTCGTGTCGTGGTTTGTCCACCTGTGCCATGTGCCTGGATCGTGGGCACCGGCTGTTGGGGCTGAGTTTGAGGGCCCAACGCGAGAGAAAAGAGCATCCTTAAAGTTGATTTCCTGGGGGGACAAGAACTGTGCCAGACCTTCAGAACTGGCCACTAGTGGGCTGGCAGAAGAGTCTGATGGTTGCTGGCTGTCTTGGCGGTGGGTGGGGAGGGACAGGGAACACAGAAGCAAAGAACTTTCCTAGCTGTTTCACTCCCCTAGCCCTGCAGTGGCTGAGCCTGGGCCCGAGCCAAAGCTGGGAACTGGAAATCAGTCCAGGTCTCCCTGGTGGGTGGCAGGAATGCAGTCAGCTGGGGCGTTCCCCCTGCCTTCCAGCGTCCACAGGGAGCTGGAGTAAGCAGGCAGAGCTGTGTGTTGAACTCTGCCCTCCAGACTGGGCCAAGGACCTGCCTTTTTAAACTGGCCATAACTGTGGTAAATAGACTTGAAAGTCGTTATTTTAACAAGTGTACCACTGAGTGGCGTGAAGGACATCCACAGTGTCATATAGCCATAGCACAGTCTGATTCCAGAACTTCATAATCCCAAACAAAAACTCTGTTCTCGTTAAACCGGAGCTGGCCAGCAACCCCTTCCCCTGGCCAGCACCAGTGGCCTGGCCCTCTGCGGCTGAGCGCTCTGCATAGTTCCTGTAATCTGAACCACAGGGTGCTTTGTCTTGCTGTGTCTGCCTGTCTCACTTGACAGGACCATTCCATGTTATCAGGGTGTCACTTCTTTTTAGGGTTGGATAACATTCTGCTGCCTTTAACTGTCACATTCATCTGATAACATCAACAGTTGGGTTGCTGGCTGCTTTCTGGCCATTGTGAACAATGCTGCTTGAAATATGGAAAATCAAATTCTGTTCCAGTATTTTGAATCCTTTTGAGTATGTGCCCAGAAGTAGAACTGCTGGATCGTTTAGGAATTCAATGTTCGACCTTTGGTGTAACCTCTTCTGTGCTTTGCGGAGCGGCCGAGCCATTTCTCATTCCCAACAATGATGCACAAGTGTTCAAGGTTCTGTCCTCCCCAACATGTGTTATTTCCTCTTTTTTTTTTTTCTTAAGATTATAGTATTCCTAATGTGTGTGAAGTAGTATTTCATTGTAGTTTTGATTTTATTTCCTTCATAAATGGTGTTGAGCATCTTTTTTGTTTGTGGCCGTTCGTGTTTCCTCTTTGGAGAAAAGTCTGTTTAGAGTCTTTGGCTGCACTTGAATGTGGCTATTTGGGACTTTTGTATTTGTTGGTGTAGAGTTTTTATATTCTGGATCTTCATTCCTTCTCAAGTTCATGATTTGGGAAAACTCTTTTCGCATCACTTGGGTTGTCTTTTCACTTTTTCTGATAATGTTTTATTTTTGATGAAGTCTGATTTATCTATTTATTATTTTTGTTGATCCTGTTTTTTTTTAAAGATTTCTTTTTTTATTGCAAAGTCAGATATACAAAGAGGAGGAGAAGAGGGAGAAAGATCTTCCGTTTGATGATTCACTCCCTAAGTGACCACAACAGCCAGTGTTGAGCCAATCTGAAGCCAGGAGCTCTTCCAGGTCTCCCAAGTGGGTGCAGGGTCCCAAGGCTTTGGGCAGTCCTGGACTGCTTCCCCAGGCCACAAGCAGGGAGCTGGATGGGAAGCGGGGCCGCAGGGATTAGAACCAGCGGCTATATGGGATCCTGATGCGTGCAAGGCGAGGACTTTAACCTCTAAGCTATCGTGCAGGGCCCTCCCTTACAGTTTTACTTCCCCTCCTCCCATCCCCAGCAAAGTACAGATAGCATTATCTACTGATACCATGTCCCACCAGAGGCCTGAGATTGTGGCAAAAGGAGACAAAATTGGGGTTGCCTTGTTACCTTGTCTTGTTCAATTGAAAAACCTCTGTTGTAGTTGTACAGCTGTGTAGGCGTACAGCTGTGTAGGTTTTCAGCCCACCTGACATGATGGATTCATGGCACGAGGAATCAAGGCAAGAGGCTCTCAGGGGTTGGAGGCCCAAGGTCCTGAAGGAGAAGTGATGTCTCCTAAGGATAGTAGATTTTGTCCAGGATCCAGCACTACTGGCAGCAACAACCTACAGGTCAGTCAGTCCAGCGTGACAGGCAGAAAGACTATAGCCAGGAGCTGGTTAAGACCGCTTCTGGTGCCAGCATCCCATGTGCTCCACTGGTTTTAGTCTGCTTCCAGTCCAGTTTCCTGCTGAATGCATCTGGGAGAACAGCAGAAAATAGCCCAACTACTTGTGTCCCTGCTACCCACATAGCAGACCCAACTGGAGACAGGCTTTGGCCTGGCCAAGCTCCAGCTTTTGGAACCATTTGAGGAGGAAATCAGAGGCTAGATCTCTCATGGTTTCTTCTCTCTCTGTCACTGTGCCTTTCAAATAAATATAATAAGTCTTAAAAAGAAAAGAGATATGATACCCAGTATTCACCCAATATTAAGACGAGACTGCTGGGGTTCAGTTCCTGGGAAGTTCAGGTGTAGCCTCAGGAAGCTGCATGGGGAGGCAGCCGAAGCCGTGGAGGATGGGCTGAAGTCACTGGAAAAAGAGTATTCCTGTGGAGCAGTTTGGAGTTGGGAGCTTTGGGGGTGTCCAGGTGATAGTGAGATGCTACAGAGGGTTTGACTATAAGCACCTGGCAGTAACCGGGGCGGGAACACTGTGTGGAAGTGCTGGGCTTGGTGGCCTGGCTCTGCAGGAGCCTGGTTTCCAGCTTGGAGGATAGCCAGCCTGGACACACTTTTCTACATTGTATTTGAGCTTGTTGATGTTCACCCAGAATTTTAAGCTGAACATGTAGCAGTACACTTGGAGGTTGTGCAGATGAAGGCCTGTGGCTTCTGTGTCTGTCCAACAGGGCAGCTTCTGTGGGCCCTTTATTCCTCAGCAGCCACTGAAGACTCTCAGAGTGATGAACTTGGCAAAGACACTTGGCCTACATTGGACTACCTCTTGCTGTCCTGAGACAGAAGGAGGCTGGCTGTCTTCTCCGGTCGACCACTCCTCAAGGGTTTGGTGAGACGTCCAATGAGGTCTGGCTGTCAGCTTGCAAGTTCCGTGGCATTCCTGGTTTTCACCAGGAAGAAACGAGAGGAGTCCTATTCAAAACTTTGTTCAGTGCCTGGTGCAATAGCTCAATGATTAAATCCTTACCTTGCACACACCAGGATCCCATATGGGTGCCTGCTTGCATTCTGACGGTTCCACCTCCTATCCAGCCCCCTGCTTATGGCCTGGGAAGGCAGTGGAGGATGACTCTAAGCCGTGGGACCCTGCCACCCGAGTGGGAGACCCAGAGGAAGCTCCTGGCTCCAGGCTTCTGGCTTCGAATTGGATCAGCTCTGGCTGTTGTGGCCACTTAGGGAGTGAACCAGCAGATGGAAGATCTTTCTGTGTCTCTCCTCTCTGATCTGCCTTTCCAATAAAAATAAATAAATCCTAAAAAAAAAAGATCTTTGTGCAGGGGGAGTATTTTGCTATCTGCCTGGTGTACTATGAGCCATGTAGCCTTTGGAGGACCGGAAGTGTGGCTCATGTGACATTTTACCTAATTTCAGCCAGATGTGTCTTGTGACCACCTTATGCACAGCGCGTCTCTGAAGAACTTGCTCCTTCTTGCTCCACACAGGGTGTCTGCCCTTGCTTCCTCACCCCCTTGGAAGTGTAGGGGTGGCATGCTCTATTGAGTGACAGTGGGTGGAGCAGGCTCTAGCTTGCTCATACTAGCCCAAATTCTTAGATGAAGTTCATTTTTAGGGCAAAATGTTAGATTACAAAGAACATGGCTTTCAGAGCCACAGCTAAAATGGGATGGGGGCAGTGGAGGTGTTCTCGTTCTTCCTAGGGCCTGGCTTCCCCTGGGCTCTCAGGACCCAGGGACTTAGAGGCAGTGAGAGGGAGATTGCTGTGGTTGGGAGATTTGGAACTGCCGACACAGACACCTGTCAGTGACCCGCAATAACACTGAGTGGAG